TTTTTATTTTTTACAGAAACTGCTCTCTGCTCCTAAAATAATTAATGAGCAGTCATGTTTAGAATAGGATAAAAATAAAATATCTGCAAGGCTGTTCTAATAGTTTCTTATAGTTCTTAAAGAAAAATCTGATTCCTTTAAGATTTATTGGGCAGGTGAAAGTTTTATGAAATAATACATTGTAAATTCGCCAAAAAACAACAATAACAAAAACAAAAACAAACAAACAAACAAAAAACATCCCTGAGACATTTCTCATAAGTTTGTATATTTAACTCTTATTTAACTGCTATTTTAGTTTTTAAAAAATAACACATTCATTTAAATTAATTATATGTAAATATAACTGAGCGTTCAACTGACATAGACAAAAAAATAATTAAATCCTTTATAACTTTTTTGTTGCTATTTTGATTGAGATTATTTCTTTCTAACATATTCACATTCACAATGTAAATATATGTAGTTTAAAAACTATTTATTTGAAAAGGAGGCAGGCAGAAGAATAAACGTATTTCACCCTACTCCTTTCTGTATGCATCTTACTTTTCACACTTTACACAAATAAAATAAAATAAACAATAAAAAATGTAATGCTGAATACCATGCTAGTAAAAAGTGAAGTATCAACTGCTTTCTGACTCACTGAGTGGTGCAAAAACATGAGACATTGGATGTTCCTGTATTCATTTCCTATGTTTTAAATAACAATACTTCACCTAACAGTTGTTCACTTAAACTCCGAGCCTTCATATTCCTATCACCAGCTCTGAGCAGGTCATCACACCTCGGTGGGTGACTCTGTCCAACAAAGCCTCAGAGGGGAAATGGGAAGTGGTGGAGAGGGGATTATTACTTTAATGCAAAAGAGGAATCCACTCAGAGCTCAGGAGAGCCAGCTGTGGAGTCACTGACTGAATCCACAGCTGGATCCTGGCTGAATCCTCTAGCCTGAGCTTCTCAGCGGGAACCTGTTTTGAATTGTGCTCGGTTTTGCGCGTTCTGCTGTTTGGAGGTGAAAACATGAGCCGAATGAGGGAGGAAGAGATTAACAATGCTTACCAGACATGCTCTTCATGGAGCACTGGCTGTTTTTCCTCTTTCTCTTTGGCACATCTGGCCATCTGGAGGAAAACAGCAACATTATAGTGATCAGAGATAATAGCAAAAACAAAATAACATGGCTTTGGAGATGTCTAACAGGTTAACTGACACATTTGAGCTAATCGGAGGAATGCCTATGGATGTATTTCTTGGCCACACCTCGAACACACTGCTGTCGAGTTGGACGTGACGGGAAAGTTAAAAGAAATCAGCCAGGATACCAGGAAGTGAAATGAGAACAATTTCCAGATGCTTCACGTTTCCTCGTTCATCTGTTCAAAAACATTGCACGCCTCTATAGACATGATGGGAATGTCCAACCATCATACCGCTCAGGAAGGAGGCGGGTTCTGAGTTCCAGAGTTGAATGGGTTTTGATCTAAAATGTGCAGGTCAATCACAGGACAAAGACCTGGTGAAGATGCTACTGTAGGACAGTGAGACAGCGTCATTATGCAGAATGAAATGTGTGCTGTACTAACATGGGCTGAAAGTCACTCAGTAAGGAGGAACGGCCTTTTAATGTTCCACACAAAACATAAAATGCCAGATTGCAGTTTGCAGACACACACAGGGACAAAAACCTTCACTTCTGGACACTAGGGGTGTCCTGATGCAACTTTTTCACTTCCGATACGGCACCAATATTGTAGCTTCGCATATCAACCAATACTAATATTGACCCAATTCAATATCAGGACAAATCATACATAATTTTAATACTTATTTTTTAGTGTGGAATGTTAAAAAGGCTTGATCAAGTGATATTACTCAAACAGAGAACGTAGTCAACAGCAACAAGTATGAGAACAACTGACCTATTTATTTTTAACCTTTGGGTCTGTGTGTGGGATACAAGCACTGCTGGACAGAAATGATGGAGCGGACAGACTTCCAATGTCCATACTGGATTGGGACACCCTTACTGGAGACATGTTCTGTGTTCTGATGAAACTAAAGTGCAACTGTTTGGCCATAATGAGGAAAAAGTGGGATGCTTGTAAGCCTGGGAACTCCATCCCAACTAAGAAGCACAGGGGTGGCAGAATCATGTTGTGTTGTGTTTGCTGCAGGTAACACTTCAGAAAATAGATGGCATCAAGGGGATAGACATTATGAAGGAATATTGAAGCTAAAGAAGGAAAGTTAAAGCTTGGGTGTAGTTGGATAAATGGCAATGATTCGAAGTAAACAGTCAAAGTGGTTCCAAAGTTTAAAAAAAAAAGTCAAAGTTCTGGTGCGACATCACAAAGCCCTTGATCTCAGTCTTACAGGGATTTTGTAGGTTGGTCTGAAAAGGTGTGTGGTAGCGAGGTGGTCTACAAACCCGCCTCAGTTCCACCGGCTCCATCGGGAGGAATGAACCAGAACTCCAGCAAACTATTGGGAGAATCTTGTGGAAAGAAACCCAAAACATTTGACCTAATTCATGTAGTACCAAATACCCAGGAGATGTATGTAAACTTCTAATCTTGAAAACATGATGTAATGAATAAATCTGGCATATCCTGCCTCCTATTATTGTTTCCTTTAGCAAATAAAAATAATTCAGGTAATTCCAGTTGACCTAAAGCAGGAGAAGTCTGGTCAAATTTAACTATGTATCTTTTTATTCAGTATACAAACTTCTGGTTTCAACTGTACATAAAGAACAGTTTCAGGGCTTGAAAGACCAAATGCGAGAGTATGAGGAGAAAAACATCCAAAAAACAAAAAACTCTCTCCCTCCTGGAGCTACTTTGGTCTAATAATATCACTTTCAGTGAGCTGTTCAGATTTACAGGATGCTGCTGCAGGCCCAACCCTAAATTATCTAGCCAACCAATTTTTTTATCCCCACCCCAATGTCACTTCAATTCAATCATTCACAGCTGGAAGCTGGAAATTCCTGCCACTGAAAGAGAGATGAGTGGGCAACAGGGATTCCACAAAAAGAACGGGAAAAGTCGGCAGCGCCTCTTAATCCTCAGCATCTAAATCCTTGAAAGCACACAGAAAAAGGACAAACAATCAGGAAAAGGTTTATATGAATGAGGTTTTACCGTTGGGATATTGACTCACCGGGACCGGTTTGGACAGTACGGGGGGTTTAACAACTGGGTCGATTTACCACATGACCCAAAACAATATTGAGTCTAAAAGATTAATTCAGTAACAACAGGAATTAGTAGCAACTGTCCTCTGTCAATAAATTATTACACTCTGCTTAGGCTCTCCATAAACACACCATAAATATTTGATTTTGCAAAGCTTGACAAACAAGCTCATATTTAGGGAAGCAATAGTAAATATTTTTGCAGATGAATAAGATTAAGAAAACAAAACAGTTTTTATATTTACTGTGAAATTTATGGGGTAGGCAAAAGAGAGAACCAGTTAACTAATAGCAATACTTTTGAATATAAGAAAGATAGATGATCACAAAGCACAAATATTCTGCTTCCTGGCTCTGAGACGGGTTATTTCATCACAAACACGAGATATTAAAACAGCTAAATTCTTCCAGTCCAGCTGTTGCCAACATAGCTAGTTCTGGTGAAGGACGTGTAAGCTAAGCTAGCATGATGGGTCTGGAGCTGGGTGATATGGACTTCAGTAGTTTTATCACAGTATTTTGTGGCACTACTGTGAAAACAACAAAACTGACAATAACAAAAACATTTTTAACTGACTAAACTACATACAGTAACTGCATTAAGTCATATTTTCAAATGTATTGATATTTATTGATTGATATATATATTTATTGATGCTCTCATTGGACAGTGGAGAAAATAGTAAATCTAACAATCCCTACAGTACTGATAGTTTTGTGGGACTTTAAACGTCATTCATTGAAATTAATAGTTAAAACTATAAATCAAAATTATCATGATACAAAATCTATCACGATAATCAATGATACAATATGCCTGGTCCTACGCCTAAGATAAGGGAAACCTTTTAATCTCCATTTGGCATCAAAAAAGTATTTTTGAATTTGAATTGAATTATTTTAACTCTGATAGTTTTCTACATTATTCTGTTGGAATAAGGAAAACTGATCAAATCTCATCCCATGAGCCGGATGGTCCATTTGACCTCTATTCTATTTATCTTTTTGGTTTGATCTGATACTTTTCCTCTTTATCAGTTGTTTTCCTTGCGCCTTCTGCTGTGGTTACAACAGGATATCAGGGTGTGTATAATATTTACCTGGACTAGAACACAATTTAGTATTTCTTTTTAAATCCTACATCTCATTTCATTCCATCTCCAGGTATCCTGAGGACAGGCCACTCTATCATTTCAGTGTTTTTTTTTTGGGATTACTCAGAACTGAGTAAATCATATCAATGGACGAACACATGCATGGCTAGTCGGCACAAGCAGATTTTCCAGGATGAAGATAATTCCTTTAGTAATCTCTTTACTGCCTCCTGTCTTGTTCTGTGATTCTCTGTGTTTCCTCTTTCCTGGCGTTTTCAGGGAGAGGTCGGCACCAGCCAATCCACACACGGCCGCCTGCTGGATGTACATCTCCTTTCCCATCTCTGCCTCCAAATCTATGCTTCCACACCAAATCCCCCCCTCATTTCATTCTAGTGTTTTCCTATTTTGCAGCTGCCCTTGAACCTCTCGCCCCCCTCTCCTAACCTCCATCAGCAGCATTAGATAACTCCAGCCTCCCTCTCCCATTGGCTCCACGTCTCTCACTCGCTGTCAAATCCCATCTTTCTCCAACCAGAAAGAAAGCTAATTTTTGCTGACATTTTCCTTTTCTTGCTTCTTCACGGTGGAGCGGGTGCATTATAGGTTTAATTACGACACAACACGCTCGGTTTGTACCGAGGTGGGAAGACGCCCGCAATGAGGGAAAAAAACACAAACTCTCAGTTAAATTCAGTCAGGTCATGTTTTTGCAACCGGAGCAGGAGTGACAGCAGCAGCGGTCCAGGAGAGCTGGCTGACCGGTGTGACGCCATGGTTACGAGCTGGAACCAGAGGCAGTATGATTCCAGAATCAACGGAACACATTTCAAACATTATTAAAATGTTACTTTAACCAATAGGGGCGCTACAAGCATGATAACGTGTAGTCAATAATAATTTGCTCAATAATAATAATAACAATGTATTTTAGTCTTATGATTATTTAATCGTTAGTGAAGGCGTAGCAATTAAATTAGTATTGAAAGTGCGAGTAAGAGTAAGAGTACATACTTAATATTCAAATTGAAATGTGGAAACATTTATAAAACTTGCCAACAAATGCAATACAGGCGGAACGTGAAAGCAAAGCCTGGAGGCTGAAAGCTGCTCAGAAAGCGTTGTATGCTGGGAATTTGAACAGCAGACTCTTTATTTAGCAAACAGGGTTTAGAGAATCACATGCCTGCTGCCTCCTGCACGATCATCAAAAGCAAAACAACCCACTGTCGGTCTGAAGATTCTGTGTGTTTGTACTGAGCAGCTGTTTAACGCCGCTTCAATTAGTAGCTGATCGAAAGTTATTATGTTTGAGAAATTTCTTGACCGACTAATTGGATTTGCAAATTTAGAACAGTGACCACTACGATCAGAACAAAAACTACATGCTGAAACTACTGAAACTACACGAAGGCGCCTCTATGAACTATTTCCTCCGTACCAACCTGTTAATGCAGTACGGCTGCAGGATATGCATGTTGCTCCCTGTGCAGGAATTAAAACTACTCAGCTTTTCCTCTGAATCAGTCAGAGTGTGCCATCCAGGCTCTTTCTCGGGAAAGCAAGCCGCAGGTTTAAAATCCCCAACTGGCAGCACTCCAGAGTGATCCTCGAACAGTTCTGTGAAGTCGGGCTTAAGTCGCCTCTCCGGGCTGAAACGTCTGTGGCGGTGGTTGCTCTCTTTCTCAGACTGGCGGCCGGAGCGATGGAGCGCTCTGTTTATTTCCCTCCCTCGCTCTCAGGCTGCTCTGGTCCAGCCTCCCTCTCTGTGATCCAGTCTACCCTCCCCTTGCTGTGCACCTGAGTGTGTACTGAGAGTGTGTGTTGTTGGTCGCAGTAGTTTGCTCTCTGTCATCAGCCAAACTCAACGGCAAGATAAAGATTTCCAGTAGCAGATATCTGATCAGCATCTTCAGCCTGCTCACCGAATGTGCCCTCCTGAAAATGCCCATCTAGCTGTGACACTGAGCAGCTATCGAAAAAAAAAAACAGACTATAGTTTGCTCCATACACCATACACTGTTGTATGCAGTCTATGGTGTGCAAACAGGCTCAGCTTTATGTCTCTAACACAAAGTGGAGCATTGTTGTGAAGGGAAAGCCTGTTTACTCTGATGTTCACAAATACAACTAGTGTAACCACCTGTCTTTAAATGTCACCTAATTAGTACACGGTGTGTTGTTTTATCTCAGTTGTTTGGTCAAAGGCCCCAGAGGAACACACAGCATCATAAAGACTAAGGAACAGATCAGCTCAGAGGAAAAGTCCTGCTAAAGTTTAAACCGGGGCTAGGATGGATAGCAGAGGTGTCCCAAAGAATCGATTCACACAGAAGAATCCTGATTCTCATTCACTACGATTCAGAATCTACTCAAAATGTTCCAAAAATTAATTTATTTTATAACTATGTAGAATGTTCTGAGGTCCAGACGGTTCTGGGACGAAGCTACAAAAACGAAAGACAGAGAGATTCAACCGTCACGTTGAAGACGAACATTTGGATTCGTTTTGCATCTTATTGAAAGGCTGGGGAGCCAGAGCCTGACATGAGCTTCACCGTGTGCAAGGTTCAGGAAATGAAGATTGATCAGAAGTTTGTGGTCATGTTTTATGCAGAAATGTTGATATTTCGCTTCAGCACGTCCATTTCCACTATCCGGTTATTGTATCAGCATATGAAATGCTTATTTTATGATTCTTCTCTCAATAACTACAAAGACAGAGGACAGAGAACGACCTGTACCTGTGTAGCACTTTCTCAAGTTCCTAAAGCGCTTCACACTACTTTCAGTCATTCACCCATTCATGCTGATGGTGGCAAGGCGGATGAAGTGACTTGCCCAAGGACACAACGACAGAGGTGGATGTGACCAGGGATCGAACTGGAAACCTACCGATTGTGGGATGAGCTCCGACTGCTGGAGTACAATCTAGTACAATATAGTAACTTCAGGGCTCTGGAGTCTTGAAAGCAAAATGTGACCTGATTTCTCAACAGTAAAACCCAAAGAGACTCATTAGAAAGACTTGGGTGTTTCTAACTTGGGATTATAAATTTGCTGGTCTTAA